TATTCCCTGTTTCTATTGCCTGTTGCCTGGCATTGTGCAAGGGGCTTTAACGACAAATGACGCGACGCGTGACGCGCACAGTGGAAACTCAGCCTAACGTCAATAAGGGCTCATGCACAATGCTGACAGGTGGGCAATTAAGGAGCAATCGTTTTATGTTGGATATACTTGCAGAAGACTGTGAGAAATGTATTTTTCCAAGAAAATAAATAGTTCTCTGCTAAAATATCATACAAAATTAATTATACGAATAAAGCGATTAAAAATCCCAATAGAACGAAGCGAGAAATAGTTATTCTACCGAAAATCAATAGGAAATATTGACTAAACTCTTTGAGATATAGTTATGAACAATAGAGCTATTATATTACGTTTAAATATTTCCGCCAATGGCTGCCGAGCCAATAGTTACAATAGGCGGCCGATAGTGGCGGCGGCGGCGTTACTTGTGAAATGATTAATTTGTTAATTTTTCAATAAAAATGCAATAAATCATTAAAATTATGATGGAGCAATAAGGAGCAATGAAGGAGCAATCGTTCTATGCCCTATAAAGTTGCATAGAGTTATTATAAATATGTTTTTCAATAAAAATTAAAAATTTTTTGTTTTTATTAAATATCTCAAAAAATAATAATTTTAAAAGGAGAGCAATTGTTGATTCTAAGGGAGCAATTAGGGAGCAATCGTTTGAGCTATAGTTCATTAAAAAATATGAACTTGCAGCGCCAACTTATTTCCGGTCACTTAAAGCTCTGCAATTCGCATCAAATTTTAGGATAGAATTTTACACTTATAATTTTACATGCCATAAATTTTGATATATGTGTATTTGATATATATTTTATATTAATGTACTTTTGATTCTCTTCAGATGCTTTTTAGAATAAAATTCCATTCTGAATTCCGACACGAATTATACGGATCATCTAAAGTAGGCTTTAAATAAATTTTTTCCTGATTAATCGCTGCGCTATATACATATATATATTATACATATACCCGTATGTGTTTACAGTTAACACAATATATCATCTTTCAGATGATCAAAGATTAATGACGTTTCTACGCTGCTGCAAATTCTCTTTGGAGAAATGTAAACGGAAGCTGGACATGTATTTCACAATGCGTGCGGTGGTCCCTGAATTTTTCTCCAACCGCGACATCACGAGGCCGGTGTTGCAAGAAATAGCAAAGCTCATGTAAGGATTCCGCGATCGCGGTATACATACGCCGGTAGTTTAAGATTTCAATTTTACACGGAAAGAGACATTGCAGGTAATTCGCGTGAACGAATTAAGGCAACCGTTAACTCTTTGTCTCCTTCCTGCAGACATATACCTCCTTTGCCGGGCCTGACAAAGAAAGGATGTCGAGTGATCGTCATGCGAGGAGTCGATAAGGAAGCGCCGACTCCCAATATACCGGAAACTATGAAGGTATATAAGTTTATTTCGATTATTGGTAGCAAAACGTCCAAAAACGCGCGCGTTCTCTAAATTCAGTAAAATTTTACTGTGTGCATTTTTTCGCATTTAATATTTTTGAAAAAAGTGCGTTGAATCGTATTATTTGGATGGATTTGCATTTTCCACTGTTCCGCTGTTGTCGAAAATATAAAAACACAATTTATCGCGTTATTCTTTCTTCTTTATATTTGTAGTATCTATAGCTGAACTCATTATATCGATTTCGATAGTTTTGCAGGTTTTTGAAAACATTGATATAGGTACCTTCATGTCTCGTGTTGAGCTTCAAAATAACAGAGACATAATTATCATTAAAGATGGTGTTCATGATCGGCGACATTCGTCTAAGCGAAGAGAAACACGGCGTGGCCGGCGATGTCTACATCCTCGACGCTTCCGTCGCGACGCCCACACATTTCGCCAAGTTTACGCCGGCCTTAGTGAAGAAGTTTCTGGTGTGCGCAATGGAGGCGTATCCGGTGAAGCTGAAGGAAGTGCACGTGGTAAACATCAGTCCGCTCGTCGACACGATTCTCAATTTCGTCAAGCCGTTTTTGAAGGAGAAGATACGCAATCGCATCTTCATGCACAGTGACATCAAGACGCTATACGAATACGTACCCAGAGAGATATTGCCAACCGAGTACGGCGGCGACGCCGGACCCATTCAGGTTATACACGGTACGGCATTTCATTACTTTTATTCGTTCGGAGTTATAAAGCGCATCACGGAACGTCATTTTTAACTTCAAGCGCAATTTCCTTGAGTCTCTTGAATATGTTGAATATATTTTTTTCTCAGAAAAGTTTCTAAAAAAGACATTAAGTCTTCTTCATTAAATATGTGAGAGACATCTGTATAAGACATAACAAAATATAACTATTCAAAATAGGAGTGCATGTATAGAAAAACGTTACAAGTTAAACGTCTTCAAGGAGCAGGAAGCTATAAAAACTAACGAGGCATTGCGACCAGGTAAACCAAAGACGCAAGACGACTTGTTCGGTCTCGATGAATCCTTCCGGCAGCTGTCGATCGATTAAATCGTTTAACGCGTATCCGGAACCAATTTGACGTATAATCGTCGCCAACGGCAATCGTTAACCAAATCGCTCGTCCGCATAAACTTCGACATCGATCGATCACAAACTTCGTCCACGATAAAAACTAAAAGGCATTTTCCTTTCGACTACAACTGTATTGCAAAATTCTGTACGGTGCTCATTATCGAGTATCTTTAAAATAACACGACCAGGTTTGTCGTGAAACATAGTGAAGCATATAATGTAGTCTCGCTGAAAAGCTTGCCGAAAAGAGATTGCTTAACGTTAGTATTTTTCATTTTTTACAATTTTTTAATCCAATAGTTTATTTATTTTTATTATTGGGGACGTAAATGATTACGATTGATTAGACCCTAAGATTGATGTCAAAGAATCTTAGGAAACAAAGTTTATTTTTTATATAAATATTTTTCTTTTTATTCACCTTTTCTTCTTTTCATTGATTTTTGCTTTGTAAAATATCATCACGTTTTAATAAGAAATATGTAGAATAATCGAGAGTTTTAACGTCTTTCTTTGAGAATTTTATATGAGTAAAACGATAATTACTCTATATATGATCATATTAACGGCACAATGTTATAAAAATTAGAATCTTTTTTTTTAAATTATTAGATAAGTTTAGAAAGTTTATTGCCCAGCTTGATATTTCACAAAAGACAATATTTTAATTTAGAAATTGTGATACGATGTTTAGTCAAGCAATATGTTTGAATATATCGCACTTAAATATATGTGTGTGTATATGTATATATATATATATATATATATATATATATATATATATATGTATGTGTCTAGTAATAAGTTTATTATTGTTACTAACACAATCATGTCATAAAATGTGCAATAATGTTCAGAGATCGAGTAATGCTCAATTTCGTATTGAGCAAATGTTAGCAATATAAAAAAAATTGCGGTAATAGCTCTCTACATTTTTGTTGGAATTGCCATCGATTGCGTTCGGCAAACGTGCAAAAATGTAACACACTGATATATACCTATCATTTACATGATGCTTTCCAATATCTCAGATATTTTTTATTCATACCCTATTTTATTTTAAGAAATCGTGGGTAAAATTTTTTAGAATTATATATGTAGCTGTATGCAAACGCTGTGTGTGGGTAATTTATAAATAAACCCGTAAAGAAAACAGATTTCCCTCAATCGATATCGAA